TTCGTTTTATACTTTTGGTGCTGGGGATTGAACCCAGGGGCTCTTCCCACTGAGCTACATCCCCAGCCCTCTCTCGCCTTTCCCCATATTTTTAATTGGTGCATGACAGTTGTACATCAATAGTGGGCCAGGCGCAGTGGCGCACGCCTGTAATGCCACACCCCCCAGGGACCGGGGGCCCTGCTGGTACCTGAGTGGCCAGAAGTCTCTTCGTCCCTGCATCAGGCTCTTAGCCTGATCGGCCCCATTGAATGTCTACCTGTCTGTCTGCCCAGCAGTGGGAGCCTGCCCCGCCCTGCAGAACAAGGACTTGGCAGAGGGAGACAGTTCTCTGCAAAGCAGCAAGAGTGAGGGAGGGGACCGAGCGTGCCAGCTCACAGGGACAGGAACTCCCGCGTGGAGGCCCTGGACGGACACATGTCCCGCCTCAGGCTCACCTTCTGTGAGGGGCAGGAGGGAGCGCCCCCTGGCAAACGCAGCCCTGAGGAAAACACCCACGGCAGGCAGCCAGCGTCCCAGAACAGCGAGGTCAACGTCTCATGGCCTGGACAGGGGCCACTTTGGTCTCCTCCAAACCCAGCAGCTGGCTTTGCCCTCAAGATAGGGCCTCGCAGCCCCAGCTCCAGACGCACACACTGAATGTCACCTATATTTTTGCAGTACCAGGGACTGAACCCAGGTGTTTTCATACAACCAAGCTACAACCCAGCCCCTCTAAATCTATTTTATATTTTATATTTTTGGTGCTGGGGATTGAACCAGGGGCACTTCCCACTGAGCTACATTCCCAGCCCTTTCTATTTTTTTCCCCATATTTTTAATTGATACATTATAGTTGTATATTAATAGTGAGCCAGGTGCAGTGGCGCACGCCTAGGAGGCTGAGGCAGGAGGATCACAAGTTCAAAGCCAGTTTCAGTAACTTAGTGAGGCCCTACATAATAGTAGTGGGATCCACTGTTAAATGTTCACACCTATTGCAACATGACAATATCATTCCCCATATTTCCCCTTTCCTCTACTGATCTTCTTTCAGTTTTTTATGAGATCCCCACACCTTTCTTTTCTTTTTTCCTCTCTGAAATCCACACAGGGGAGAAAACATACAACTCTTCACTTTCTGAGTTTGGCTTATTTTGAGTAACACAATATTCAAGTTCCATTTTCCTACAAATGACATAAGTTACTTCTTCTTCTTCGTGGCTGAGTAAAACTCCATTGTGTGTATATCCACATTTTCTTCATCCATTATCCACTGATGGACACCAAGGCTGGTCCTACAGTTGTGACCTGTGCTGCTATAAACACAGGTTGCACGTGTCACTATAGCATGTGCTGACTTTAATTCTTTAGGATAAATATGGAAGGGCAGGATAGCCCAGCCCTTTCTTTTAAAAAAAATATAGATATTGGTACCAGGGATTAAACTCAGGGGCACTCAACCACTGAGCCACACTCCCAGCCCTATTTTGTATTTTATTTAGAGACAGGGTCTCACTGCGTTGCTTAGCACCTCACTTTTGCTGAGACTGGCTTTGAACTCTCGATTCTCTGTAATCTCAGCCTCCTGAGCTGCTGGGATTACAGGCGTGTGCCACCGTGCCTGGCACAGCTCTTTTTTTTATCTTGAGACAAGGTCTTATTAAGTCGCTGAGGCTGGCCTCAAACTTGCAATCCTTCTGTCTCAGCCTCTGGAGCAGCTGGGATTATAGGCAGGCGCCACCAACAGGCAGCAAATGTCCTCTTTTGTGTGGGGGGAATCATTCTGCATTCTCAATCTGACTATTCCCATCACAGGGCCCTCTACCAACCCCGCAGACTCAGCCCTCCCCTGAACTTCCTCTCTGTCTGGGTGTCAAATTTTCTCTCATCCCCAGAAAAACAGGTTTGCCCTGCAGTGCCCAGCGGGTGTTTTGTATTGTCACATCCTAATATTGACACTAGGAAAATCAGCTGCCCGCTCCTCTTCGTGCCCGCCCCGTGCCCCGGCCACCTTGCCTGCCCCTCTCCTGCCTGCCGCAGGGCCAACCAGGAACTTGCACCACAGACTCATTGGCCCACACTCTGTGTTTCTCCAGGCCCAGCCCCAGCCAACCAGTGGCAGGACAAAGGAGAGGCGAGGAAGCGGCCACTCACGTCCAGTCCAGACCCACTGCTGGCCTCCTGGTGGCCACCAACAGCAAAACCCGAGCGCCATTGGGAACTTCCTCAAAACCGCTCAGAATTGTTCTGGCCAGAGAGAAAAAACAGTGGGAATCTCGTGGGATCCAGTTAAGTCCGCTGCAGGGGAAGCAAGAAGCCATTAACTGTCCACAAACTTGTTTCACTAACAGGATGCTTTCCAGGGGGAGGGGAGGACACCGCCGGCCGCAGCGGGTCAGCTTCAAGCACACAGGGCCCTCCAGCCCCCCGCCGCCACTCACTGCCTGGAGATGGTCAGGAGCCCAGAGAGGGACTGTCAGGGATTGTCCCTGGCTTCTCTGGCAGCTCAGTGGATCCAGAGGTCCCGTCACATTTGTACCCACCAACCCGGGGAGCTAGCAGGCACGCAGCCCCCCGACCTGCTCCAGGACTCATCACAGGGGTCCAGGCCCTCAGGGACAGTAAAACAAGGCCTGTGGACAGAGGTGCTGGGAGGGGAGGCTGCCCCTGGAGACAGGGCAGTCAGGGAGGACTGCTCACAGGAGGTGGCAACTGGGCAGAGAGAGCAAAGAGTGAGGAGCCAGACACCCACTGGGACTGGGGAAGTGTGTCACTCCGGGGATCTGTCTTAAGCCTCACACTATCCCGTGGGAGGACGCGGGATCGACTGTGGCTGGGGGTGAAGCTCAGTGGCCCAGCACTGGCCTGGCAGCACGAGGCCCTGGGTTCAGTCCTGGCGCTGAGGGGGGAAATCAACTAGAAGACATCTTAGAAGTTTGGTTAAATGGGTTTGTCACCAGGGAAAAGCACATTCTGAACTTTCAGGCGTAAGCTAAGAGCCCTGGAAGCCTCCCCTCAGCTGTGTGAGGCATCCTAAGCCAACTCAAGGGGCAGATAAAGAACTGCGCAAACCCAGCACACGAGGCTCTGCAGAAGCCACAGCCGAGGTCCACGTGGCCCGGGACCCTGGGGTCCTGAGGGTGACAGTGCTGTGGCTAGATTCAATGAGTGTCCCCCAAAGCCTTCAGGCATCTAAATTCAGTTCCATCCTGAGCTAGTAAAGGGCAGAAACTTGGTCTGAGCCTGGTGTTAAGAGGCGGGGCCTGGGAGGTGACACGGTTAGGGTAGTCAGGGTGGGACCCCATGACCGAATCCCAGAGAGAGAAACCAGAAGAGATGTTGATGCCCACTTGGGGGTCTCGGCACTGGTTGTCCTCAGGACCCTGCCGGCAAGGCGGCTGTCCCAGATGCAGCTCTCTACCACATACCCCCAAACTGGAGCCAAAACAAACCTCTTCTTGATAACAATGCCTTTATTTTTATTCATTTATTTTCATGTGGTGCTAAGGATGGAACCCAGGGCCTCACCTGTGCTAGGCCAGCGCTCTCCCACTGAGCCACCACCCAGGCCCTCTTCTTGATAACTTTGACACGAGATACTGCATCATTAGAAACAGAAAAAGGCAGATGGGAGGCTCCCAAAGCCTGGAGAATGGAGTGTTAGAGGTGAAGACATTGAGGAGGTACAGGCCTGGAGGAAGGAGCCTGGCAGAGGACTCACCTATCTCTCAGCTGCCCCAGATGACTCTTCAGGGAACACTTACTTGCAAAACAGCCTGTCAACAGCAGGAATCAGCCACTGAGAACCAGGCCTTGCCCCAATTCAGTGGAAATAAGGATATTTACAGAAGCTACCAGCAGCCACTTGGGCAGGAATCTCAGGTACCCATTTTACAGAATCAACAAACTGAGGCTCAGAGAGGTGGATGGCCTGTCCAAGGCCACCCAACTGAGAAGTGGCTGCATGGTCTCCAAAAGAGGGCTCTGGGCTTTTAGCTGAAAGGCCCAGCACCTGTGCTTCCTGGGACCTAAGCCTCAGTCTCTCCAGCTGTGAACTGAGGCCTCCTGCTCCGTGAAGTTTAAGTATATGGCCCTTTTAGCCCAGGGTCCTTCTAGGGAGCTGGTGTCCCTGACTAGGGTAGGAACATTGTTGCAGCAGCAGCAGCAGCAGCAACAACAACAATGTCCTGCCGCAGGGGGTGGCTCCTACTAGCGCCAACTGCAGCAGCAACCAACGGTTTACTAAGCGTTCTGCATCCCGGGGGCCAGATCCACCGCGGAAAGTGAGACAAGCCCTGAAGCCCCGGCGCAGGTTGGGCCGGGTCACCAGAGGGGGCGGCGGGGCCTCAAGCTCCGACGCCGCGGTGACTCGGGATCAACGGTACGTGGCCCGCGCCCTGCCGGGTGGAGCCAGCCGGGCCCGCGGGGCACTGCGCAGGTGGCAGCCGGCGACAGCGCCTGGCTCCTCGTGCAAGTTCCTGTTCCGGATTTTCCCCGGCCCTTCCTCAGGTGCACGGGGCCCAGGATCCCGGCGGGGACAGGCGCCCGACGCCATCTTCCCTCTTTTCGTGGACAGAGCTGTGTCGTCCCTTCCCCGGGCTGGTGGTGCCCCACCGAGCTCAGGACCCGGTCTGCATACAACGAAGGTCGGAGCCCCGAGGCCACGCAAGAGGGCGGCGCGAGGGTGACGGGCAATGTGCCTCTGGGCGGAGCGCACAGGAGCCACCCATGGCACGGGTGCGCACGCTGTGGCACGCGGGGCTGCGGCTGGCACGACGCGGGGTGGGGACCTGGAGCCCCCAGCGAGACAGGGGACTTTTAGAGCCGGGGTCTTCAGACGGCCTCCCTCGAGGGACTCCAGACTCCCTCGGGATATGCCGGTGTGGGACGGGGAGGGACTTAGGTCCGGGTCCCCGACCTCGCAGCCGTGCGCCCTGGTCAGCGGCCTGTGCGCTCACCTGCCGGGCTTGGGGCGAGCTGAGCGGCGGGCTGTGGCGGGGCTCTGGGCTCCAACTTACCTCGCGACAGCAGCAGCGGCTGGGAGGGCGGTGGCAGTGTGCGGCCGGTGGCTGCGGCTGTGTGTCGCGCGGGACCTGCTAGGCGGCCCCGCCCCCCGGCCCCGCCCCGCCTGCCCTGCCCGCCCCGAGCCCCGAGCCAGGAGTCGGACTCAGCCGCTTGCAGAGCTCGTACCAGAGCATCTGCCGCCTGCTCACGCGCCCCGCCCTGCCCATCAGCGAGTGCGCTCCGCCGGTGCCCGGGTGCGCTCCCTGCGCCCAGCACCGGCCGTTGGACGTGCGCGCCCGGGAGCTTGAGTGGAGGGATCCGCCGGCCCCAGACAATCCAAACTCTAATGAGCCTCGCTCCGTCCTCTCAAGACTCCATCAGCCCTTTTGTACCGGGGATTGAACCCGATGGAGCTCGACCACTGAGCCACATCCTTAGCCCTTTTTAATATTTTATTTAGAGTCAGGGTCTCGCTGAGTTGCTTTGGGTCTCACTAAATTGCAGAAGCTGGCTTTGAACTACCATCCTCCTGCCTCAGCCTCCAGAGTCGCTGGGATTACAGGTGTGCTCCACCGCGCCTGGCTAGCCCTGGGCTTTTTTCATGCCCGTTTTACCCACGTGGAAAGAGGCTCCGCGAGGACCGAATGGCTTTCAAAAATCCGTGCCTTTAGGCTGGTACTTGTGGGAATTCAAGTTCTTTAAACCGTAGTGAAAAGTCAAAACTCAAAACCGTTTCTCGCTCCTTAGAAGCAGCGCAGCGCACCCGCCCTGGAGCCTGGGGGCTTCCCCAAGCGCCCAGCTGCGTAGCCCTCCGCACCGAGGGGGGCCTGCTCACCCTGCGCTGGGCGGGGCCGGGGGCGGGGGGCAGGGAGGGCACCAGCAGATAGCCCACTTGCAGGCCGCTGAGAGACCCTGGAGGGAGGAGAAATCCGGAGTTCCAGGTCGGGTGGGCGGGGGTGGTCTCCAATCCCAACCCCCAGTAGGGGTGTTTTGCCGGTAGAGAAGGAGGGGTGCTGGGTGTGAATAACAAAGTAACCACCTCCCGGAACTGGGCTTGTTTAGCTCTGGCCACGGCCCTGGGGGAGGGGTCGACAAGGGCTCCCCTCCCCCTCCCTCTCGTGTCCTTTGCTGCTCTTCCTTCTCTCCCTGGAGACAGAACAATGAGCCTACTTGGGCCTCAGTGTTCTCATCTGCGAAATGGTCCTGCAGGGCTGCCGGGGGATCAGGAGAGAAGTTAAGTAAACTCAGGCTGTAGGTAACCAGCAGGGGCCCTCCTGCCACAGGGCGTCTTTGGCCTCTTTTCCAGGACCTGCGAATTATATCAGAAGCCCGGCTCTCCCAGAAATGTATTAATAGGCACAGGCGCCCTTCCGTCAGGAGTGGGGAGCCCCGCGGAGGGGAGGGGGTGTGTGATGATACAGGGTCTCCTGGGCCGGAAACCCTTCATAGTGAAAGAATCCTCCACACAAGACAATTTGCCCAGGAGAATGCCAATTTTACTGCAAAAGGCTGTGTGCTTATATAGATCTAAGGAGAGATGGCAGGGCTTAGATAAATGGCGGGCCACCCATTTATTGGCAAGTTCTTCCAATATCAGTTCTGGAGCCCAGGAATTAGTTCTTATTGGGGCTAAGGTTCCCCGCCAGCGAGATTTGAAATTGGCACCGCTGGGAGAGTTCACACCGGCGGGAACCTTTCCTGCCAGTGAAAAAATGGGAAAGTAAGAAGAGAAGGTCCTTAGGCACCATGTTGGGGTTTTTTTTTCCTCTGGGGTGCGGCTGCCATTATACTTTTGCCAACATTCCTCCCTTTTTGTTTTCTTAGGAACTGGGGCATCATTGGTCAGATCCGGCTGCTTCCAGCTGTTCAGGGGCTGCATGGGCCTAGAAGGGGAAGTGGAGGAATGTTGGGGGGGGGGCAGGTCTGGGGATATCATGGCAACCAGAAATAGAACCCAGTGGCTATAGACAGCTACTTCCGTAGGGGTGAAGTCTATGAAGGTTCCCTGAAACCACAGTCGACGATGGCATCGAACCAGTCCTGGATGGAGGAGATTGTTGGTATCAGCCACTGGTCCTGTAACAGAGACTCTAGGAAATACTGGAAGCGTTGCCTGGACCAGCACCTGAAGGAGATCAGAGCGAACAAAAACAGGATGAAGATGAAAATTAAAGCAAAGGTCAGTTTTTGGCAGAAGTTCTATGTTGGGGAACTGACAGAGAAGAGGCCAAGGGCCATGAGGAGGCTTAAAAGGACATAAAGACTCAAGAATCCAGGATGGCAGATTAAGAGGTTCTCTGGGCTTGTTGTCGCCCACTGTCTGATGTCCGTTGCATTCCATCGTGCCTGGTAGTGAGCTTCAGCACTGAGTGAGCTGTTCTCTTGAAGATGTTGGGGGTTCATGGGTCATCAGAGGCTGGTAGTGCCTAAGCAGAAGCTGGTTGAAAGTTTGATTAGAAATTTTCTGCAATTGGGTTTGAAGGAACTTCATTATGCAGGGCAAGAGAGCACATAAAAGGAGCATCCCAATAAGGGGCCCCAAGAGAGGTAGCAAGTACGTGGGGAGAGAGGATTGGAAGAACCCCGTTATGGGATTAGAGGAGGTGGGTTTGAGCAGTTGGGTCGATAATTCCTGCAATTTAACAACATTATTTTCTATTAGCCCAGACTCATTAACACAGTAGCAACATTCCTCTCTGAGGAACAGGCATGTAGCCCCTTTTTCTGCAGGGAGGAGATCAATCGCCCTTCGGTTCTGTAAAGCCACTTGTGCCAATGAAGTAACCTGCCGCTGCCAGGAGCCCAGAGACTCAGCAGTGGTATCGAGCGCTTCCTGCAGTTTTTGTTGCAGGTCACTGGATGCCCACAGAGCATGACCTATAGCTCCACCAGAGAATCCGAGACTCGCCACTGAGGTTGTTGAAGTGAGGCCTACCAGAACCGGCAGAAAGACTGCCCTACGGGTGCGGGAAGGTAGGGCCAGCTGCCGGAATTCGGTGGGAGTATACAAAGACAGCTGAGGAACTACAGTAACCAAGAAACCGGTGCCAGAGACATTGGTCGTTGAGGTACTTAAAGACCTGTTACACCAGAGGAAATGTCCAGGTTGCATAAACGCAGGGCTCGATGGGGTGCTATAGCTCACGGAACAAATGGGTAAAGGATTCATTGTTGGCAGGTAGAAACAGATGAAAGGAAATGAAGCATTGGTGGAATAACTTTCTGTAGTGGGATACGTGCCACATGTAGGGGTTGTCCTTTCTTAGAGAAATTGTAGGTTTTTGCTGAAATATTTCCTGCCGCTAATGGGACTGCTGCTAGAAGCGGACGACTAAGTAAAGCACAGAGGAAGCACTGAGAAGTGGGCACAGAAAGAGGGGTGGAGTTTAATAATCGAAGAGTTTGGTGTAGCAAATTGAGCCATGTGGGAGGGGGACCTGAGGGGGTTGAAGACTCTGAATCCTCTTTGGATGGGCTATGGATAAGATCTCGAAGTTTTGATTCTGACTCCTTGATGTGTTCGACTACCTGGATGGTTGCCTTAGGTGGCGTTGTCAGGGAGCGGCCAACAGTCATCCACCCTGTGGGTCTGGCTGAGGTTGTCCGAGCATAGACAGCAAACTCAACATAGTCCCAACGTTTGGCCTTGGGGTCAGGTATATCTAAAGTATACCATCCATTGTTATCGGATGAAGAGCCCTTATTCCATTTTAGGTAACTAGAAGTCCACCCTTCAGGGTAGCCAAGTGAGTGGTAAGAATAGCTACCACATTCATCACGGAGCCTGCATGACCAATAGGGGCACCCATTATATACCTCAGGCCACCAACGGCAATAGTCTTTGGTTTGATCAAAAAGGAAGCAAATGAAAGGCCAGTTCCAGCTACAGGGAACGAAGGTTCTGGAAGGTGACCATTTTAGGGACACAGAGGTGCAGTTGTGGATGAAGCAAGTAGTTACATCCACTGTGTGGACGTTCTGCATGCCATGTTCCGAGTATCGTTCCCGAAGGGTGAATTGGTACATGGTAGGAGAGGAGGGTAAAGACCAGTCCTGACAGAGCACAGAAAACAAGCAGACAGAGAGGATTAGGGTGTTGGGAAAGCTCATTGTGCCTTCTTTAAGAGGAATTGGGCTGCGGGGAGCACCGTGTGAGCCGCAACTTAAAGGGGTGAGATGGGTGTGGAGAGCAGGAGCAAAGGGGAGGTTCAGGAGGTGACTCTTGGAGTTCCTCTGGGGTGGTCCTGTCGTCAGCAGGTGGGGCCTCCTGGTGATATGGCTTCAACCTAGAAATGTGAATCCAGGGGGTGAGACGGTTGTCTGGTAAGGAGAGTTTGGCGGTGGTGGGGGTACAGAGAATGACAGGATAGGGGCCTTCCCATTTTGGGACAAGAGGCCCTTTCCCCTCCAGGGTATTATAATAGACTAAACTCCCAGGTGTTAAGGGAGGAGTGTTTGGAGAGGAGTCTGGGTCCAGAAGAAGCCAGTCCTGATATTTCCAGAGTTCCGAGCGGAGATGAAACAAGAGAGGCAAAGACAAATCTCGGGTGAGAGGTCCGTGTGAAACGACCAACACAGGGGGTATAAGAGGTCTTCCATACATTATCTCAAAGGGAGACAGTAGAGATGGTTTCTTAGAGAGAGCTCTGATCCGAAGCAAAGCCAAGGGAAGGAGTTTGACCCAGTCTAAGTTTAATTCCATTGTCAATTTAGTAAGGACTTCCTTCAGAGTCTGATTTACCCTTTCCACTTTCCCTGAAGCCTGGGGGTGATATGGACAGTGGAAATGCCACTTGAAGGAGAGGGCTTGAGAGACCTTTTGTGTGATCCTAGAAATAAACTCAGGGCCATTGTCGGATTGTAGGGAAGTGGGCATACCAAATCTGGGGATGATGTCTGTCAGTAAGACTGAAGCCTTTTTATAGGAAGTGGGAAATGCCTCAACCCAACCAGAGAAAGTGTCCACAAAGACAAGGAGGTATTTAGTGCGCCGTACTGCAGGCATGTTGGTGAAGTCTACCTGCCAGTCAGCAGCAGGAATGTGTCCCCGGGCTTGGTGGGAGGGAAACGGTTCAGGCCTTAAAGGAGTATGAGGGTT